AGGCCTCATTTCTAAACTATATAGAGAACTGAGTCAAATTTATAAGAATACAAGTCAGTCCCCAACTGATAAATGGTCAAAGGATATGAACAGGCAGTTTTCAGATAAAGAAATTAAAGTTATCTATAGTCATATGAAAAAAATGCTCTAAATCACTATTAATTAAAGAAATCCAAATTAAAACAACTCTGAGGTACCACATCACACCTATTAGATTGGCCAACATGACAAAACAGGAAAATGATAAATGCTGGAGAAGATGTGGGAAAATTGGAACTATGCCCAAAGGGCTAAAAAACTGTGCATACCCTTTGACCCAGCAATACCACTACCAGGTGTATATCCCAAAGAGATCATCAAAAAAGGAAAAGGACCCACATGTACGAAAATATTTATAGCAGTTCTTTTTGTGGTGGCAAAGAATTAGAAATTGAGGAAATGCCCATCAATTGGGGAATGGCTGAACAAGTTGTGGTATATGAATGTAATGGAATACTATTGTTCCATAAGAAATGACGAGCAGGTGGACTTCAGAAAAACTTGGAAAGACTTACATGAACTGATGTTAAGTGAAGTGAGAAGAACCAGGAGAACATTGTACATAACAGAAACATTGTGTGATGACCAACTTTGACAGACTCAGCTCTTCTCAGCAATGCAAGGATGTAAGACAATTCCAAAAGACTCATGATGGAAAATGCTGTCTACATGCAGAGAAAGAACCATGGAGTCTGAATGTAAATCAAAGCATACTATTTTCTCTTCTTTTTTTCTTCTTTCATGTGGTTTTTCCCTTTGGTGCTAATTCTTCTTTACAACGTGACTAATGTGGAAATATGTTTAATATGACTGTACATGTATAGCTTTTATTAGATTTCACACTGCCTTGGGGAGGGGCGAGAGGAAGGAGGAAGGGAAAATTTAAAACTCAAAATCTTATAAAAGTGAATGTTGAAAACTAAAAATAAATTAACTAATTTTTTTTAAAAAGCATGCTCTTTTTTATCTTTTAAAAACATTTTAGTTCTTTGTTTTTAGTTTTCAACATTCACTTTTATAAGATTTTGAGTTTTAAATTTTCCCTTCCTCCTTCCTCTCGCCCCTCCCCAAGGCAGTGTGAAATCTAATAAAAGCTATACATGTACAATCATATTAAACATATTTCCACATTAGTCACATTGTAAAGAAGAATTAGCACCAAAGGGAAAAACCACATGAAAGAAAAAGCAAAAAACAAACAAACAAAAAAAGAAAACAGCATGCTTCAATCTGTATTCAGACTCCATAGTTCTTTCTCTGGATGTGGATAGCATTTTCCATCATGACTCCTTTGGAACTGTCTTAGATCACTGCAATTCTGAGAAGAGCTAGGTCTAACAAAGTCAGTCCTCACACAGTGCGGCTGTTACTGTGTACAATGTTCTCATGGTTCTGCTCACTTCACTCAGCATCAGTTCATCCAAGTCTTGCCAGGTTTTTCTAAAATACGCCTGCTCACCATTTCTTATGGAACAACAATGTTTCATTATATTCACATACCACAATTGATGGATAGCCCCTCAATTTCCAATTCTTTGCCACCACAAAAAGGGCTAACATGACCTATTCTTGATGAAGCTATGCTAATTCTTAGTGATCTTCACTCCCTTTTTTAGATGCCAACTAAACATTTCTTTAATAATACATTACATTAGGGGGCAGCTAGGTGGCGCAGTGGATAGAGTACCAGCCCTGAAGTCAGGAGGACCTGAGTTCAAATGTGACCTCAGACCAAACACTTGCCACTTACTAGCTGTGTGACCCTGGGCAAGTCACTTAACCCCAATTGCCTAAAAATTAAAAAAATAAAAATAAAAAAATAATACATCACATTAGAAGTGAAATTAAAATTGAAAAAAAAATACATTACATTCTAGAATGTTATCACACTCTGCTGTTCCTATTCTCATCCTTTAAAAAAAAAAATGGGCACTTTTGCCCTTTACCATTTCCATGACCTCTGTCTTGTTCCATGATCTTTCAGTGTTCTGTGATGATAACTCAGCAATCTTATTTGTTGGTTTTGTCAGATGGGATGCCTTCCCTTGTAGAACTCTAGAACACTGGACACTACCAGTGTTTCCTTGGAATTCCCTGAAATCAGCATCTCACAAATCTAGGATACATATGTCAGACTATGCCCAGTTTTTCTCTCATTCTCTTTCATAAATTCTAAGATCAAGAGGTTGCTTATTCTAAACATTCCCATAATTGCTCCTTCAGCTCCCAATTCCTCTTCCTGGTCAAAATCAGGTCCATAGATCCACTTATCAATTTCATCACTTTGTGCAACATAACCTTCCTTGGCCAGGGTTTTATTTCTCTGCATTTTCCTGCCTCTGGCCTGGGGCATTTAATATGAAACCAGGTGCCTGGGGGGATTCCAATGTTATGGTCCAGCAGGTAATTTTATTTTTTAAGGACTTTTTTAAAATTTATTTTTAGTTTTCAACATTCACTTTTATAAGATTTTGAGTTCTAAATTTTTCTTCCTCCGTCCCCTCCCCCCTTCCCAAGATGGCATGCAATCTGATATAGGATATACTTGTACAATCATACTGAACATATTTCCACATTGGTCATGCTGTGAAAGAAGAACCAGAACCAAAAGGGGAAACCATGAGAAAGAGGGGGAAAAAAGAGAGAGAGAGAGAAAACAGTATGCTTTGATCTGCATTCAGACTCCATAGTTCTTTCTCTGGATGTGGTTAGCATTTTCCATCATGAGTCCCTTGGAATTGTCTTAGATCATTGTATTGCTGAGAAAAGCTATGTCTATCAAAGTTGATTCTCATACAGTGTCCAGCGGGTGATTTTTAAACAAAGAGAATCATTGTGCTTTACAAAGAAAACTCTGAAAGACATCAGAAAGGAATTTCTGAAATGCCAACATCTAGAGATGACGGGCCTCTGTGGCATCCAGGGGGCCAGTAGCTAGCTGCTGACTAAAAGGTCATTGCAAAGCCGATGAATGTTTCCACTAGTGCTTGTCACAAGTCTATAGAACAAGTAGCTGGTGAATGTGGCAAGCTAAGACCAGCCTGCATCCTTTACCTCTGACACAGAAATGCTTGGGAGAGATCCCCGACCAATACCAATTTTTGGACCCACCTAGGAAACAGGTATCAAACAAAGACTGGGCAGAGGAGTTGAGATTCCAGTCCTCACTAGGAATCATGGGAAATCTGCCCCTTTGAAGTTTTAAGCCAATATTGTTAATTTTGTTTTCCTTGTAGTTGAGTCCATTTAATCTACATGCAAATGAGCAATCTCAGAACACTCAAACTTGAGGAAGAAGGGAAGCAAATAACTATTTATTAAGTGCCTTTATTAAGACATTGTGCTAAGTACTTTACAACTATTATCTCATTTGATCCTCACAACAACCCTGGGGGAAGTTCGATTTTCAAGGTTGGGTTTTTTTTTTTGTTTGTTTGTTTTTTTGTTTCTTTTACAGTTGAGGAAACTGAGATAGATAAAGGTAAGTGACTTGCCCAGGGTCACACAGCTGGTAGGTATCAGAGGCCGGATTTGAACTCAGGTCTTCCTAACTCCAGGCCTAGCACTCTATCTACTGTACTATCTGGCTATCTAAGAAAAGATTGAAATTCGGCAGGAATTCTGATACAATCTAAGCAAGTTATGAATTATCATGGGTTGACGTCATGAGAACCCTGAAAAGCACTGAGAAAGCTTAAGCAGTTGGTAAAAGCTGGTGAGTCATGCAGATGCCAGGGGTGAGGGGGCTACCCCATGAGGGTGGTCAGTCCTGCTACACAGGCTACACAGGCCTTTCTGGATTCCCTCCGAGTGGCTAATGACCTTGTACATTCTTTGGACCTTCTCCAGCATTTGGTTTTGCAGTTCTTTAAAGCATCTGTCATTTCACATTGCATGTTATAGTTTTCTGTGTTTGTCTCTTATCCCCCTTTGTTCAGTTGTCTTCAGTCATGTCTGATTCTTTGTGACCCCATTTGGGGTTTTCTTGGCAAAGATACTGGAATGGTTTGCCATTTCCTTCTCTACCTCATTTTACAGATAAGGAAACTGAGGCAAACAGGGTTCAGTGACTCAGGTTCACATAGTCAGTACTAGAAAGTAATCCCCACGAGGGAAGAAACTATTGTCTTATATAAACTTTGCATCTCCCTCAGTCACTATCACATAATTGACACTTAATTGATTTGAGTTCAAAAAATAAATAACAAAGTACACCTACCAATTTCTACCAAATTTTTGTTCAACTTCAAAGGATACCACTTCCTTACAATACTGAGTAAAGTACATATATCAGAGGAACATTTCTTTAAAAAATTAAGCAGTGTCAAGAAATAACAAGCCTAGAAGTCATAGTAAGCACAGTAACCATGCTAAGAGAGTTGAATAGTTTGAAAACAAGGATGATGGGAGTGAAGCACATCTGCTGAAAGCACTGGGCTAAAGCAGACATTCCGTATGGAACCAGAGACATTGACTCTTGAGACCTAAGGAAAGCATCTCTGAAGCCCAGTCCAATGACCTGTCTCCAGGGAAGGGTCACATCCTCCAGAAGGCTGGGAATCCACGTGTAGCATTTATTACAGTCAAAAAGGACACCTGAAAGGACATGTGATCCCGGCTTTCTAGGTCAGTCTACAATAGGCTGATGACTAAATATCCACCAAATGTAGTACATCTCATAATAACCAGGGAGAAGAGGAAACACTCTTACCTCCTCGTAGTATACAGTCGCCAGGGGAAAGTCTTCATTGACTTGGGCTTCGTATGCAAAGAGTCGGAGCTGTTCAGAAGTTGTGGAAGTGGCCACGGCAGCAGTCTGAGTCTCATCTGGCTTGCTCTATTCAAAGACAAAGAAGTGAGACTGGCAAGATGGAGTGAATTTGGTGTACAGAAGCTTTAAGGGGATAAGTGCTGCCGAAGGCAAATAAAAGGCATGAAACTAAGAATATAAATTCTAAGATGATTCCAAGGCTTTTGCCAGTTTTTGTTTAGACAAATTAATAGTGAATGATTGAATCAAGAAGGAAAATTTCAGAGGTTTATTTATCATGTTTGAAATTTGCACAGAGATGGCAGGTGAACCCACAGGAATGAAAGACATTGCCCAGAGTTCCTCATCTATTGGAAAAAGCATAGGAAAACAAGACAAGATTTTGAGTGTTTAATCCCCACTGAAGATTGGAAATAGGTTTATATATCACCCAAAGGTTAACTATAGCTTAGAAACTCCGGTGGAAAAAAACGTGTTCAGGAATAAGTGATGATCTATTGTTTTGAAAGTTATGGTCAAGGAAAGAAATATCTTTCCATTTTAGCAATAAGTAATGTGAAGAAACAGGGCCTCTGACAGAACAAGGACCAGTTTTTGAAACATCACCCAGGGGTTTCCTTTTTTTCTACTATTGGAGATAAAATGGAGGTTCTAGCTATGCCCCACCTGACATGTCAGCAGCCCTCCAGGGCTTGAATAGGCTCCACCCATATATGAAAAGATCTGAAGAGCTACAGCATAAATTATGTAGGGCATGGCTGGGTGGACATTTGAGGAACGGGATTCAAGGGCCAGAGGAAGTAACAGCAGATATAGCAGTCCCTCTCTGCGCCTGGGTCTGTCTTTGACTCTACTCAAGCACTCCATTAGTGACAAAAAGGTAGCAAGGATCAACTGGAGTCCCATACAGCTTTGTCAACAAACAGGATTGGAGATCACAGCCAAGGACAAAGCAGCAAGTGAAGAAACGAAGCTAGAAAAGGAATGGGGTCCTGGCTCCCTGATGGGAGATACTTCAGGGCTCTGGGTGGGAGTGGCTTATAGGATAGTTAAAGCCTGAGCAACTGAACTGGATCCTGGGTGCTCTCAAATTCATGGATGCCTATGGACTGGTTTGGGGCTGCCAGGGTTTAGGAGCCACAGGCATGTAACACATATGGTCTTTGTTCTCATATATTTGACTTTATTCCTTTGCCTAGGATGATACCTTTGGAGCTAGAAGAAATCTTAGTGTTTATCTATTTTTCTTTTCTTTACTTTTTTTCTTTTTCTTTTTTTTTTAGGCAATTGAGGTTAAGTGACTTGTCCAGGGTCACACAGCTAGTGTCAAGTGTCTGAGGCTGGATTTGAACTCAGGTCCTCCTGACTTCAGGGCTGGTGCTCCATCCACTGCGCCACCTAGCTGCCCCCTTAGTGTTAATCTAATCTAACCTTCTTATTTAACAAAACTAAGAGACATTAAGTTACTTGTGCAAGGTCTATGGTAGTAAGTAAAGCATTATATAGAGTCAAGTCATACTTGGATAGTTAACTTCATTATGTATTACTCATATGACTTGGGCTCATTAAATCAAAATCTGAAAAGCAAAAGGGAGCGTTTCCTGATGTATGGGGAAGAGAGCCAGGGGAGGGTTACTGGATAAATTCACACTGACTATATCTCTAAAGCAAGTTGATGAACACTGCCATCCAGAAAAAAAGTGGAGCTAGGCATTTCCTTCAAGCAACCTCTGGTGTTGCAAGGAATGTATAATCAACCAGAGTGTTCGTGGGTCAGCCATTATTGGGGTCTTCATCCCTGGAAATCCAGCTAACTGCCATTGTGACCCTCTCCAATTGGGCAAGTGGTTATCTTTCTATATCTTTCAAAGGCTGGCACCACCAGTCTACCTTCAAATTCAATGCAGTTGTTCCTTTTCTCTTTAAACCCCTGAGACAAAGGGTAAATGTTTCAAAAAAGATTTCATCAATGACCAACAGAAAGAGGATAAGAGAAAATAAACTAACAAAGAATAGCATTATAACTATTCAGAACATGACCATCCTATCATAAAAGACCCTTCAATCTGGCTGTCGGTGGTAGGCCAGTTCTGTTTGTTCCCATCTAATGAGCCTCTTGACTAGCTCTTATCTAGCAAATCTACGCTTATCTATATTATGTATTTCTTACATACCAGGTATAAGCCTGGTCCCCATTTTCTGTCCAGAC